CTGCTGTTGAAACTGATCAGCGGCTGATTCCAGGAAGCCCGGGGCAGAGAAACTCTGCCTCGGGCTTCCTGTAGTCAGCCGCTGGTCAGTTTCAGCAGCGGCTGAATCTGGACGCCAGTTCCGACTTACGTACAAATTCAACTTAAGAACAAACCTACAGTCCCTATCTTGTACGTAACCCGGGGACTGCCTGTATACACAAAACACAGTCAAACGTACAAATGGAAAAAAAATGATTTTTCCTCTTTCAATTGCAGTAACATTAGGGATTACTAACCAAAACAGTAGATACAGAATTGTATGTCCTTTCAGTAAAATATCTGTACAACACTCTGAAGATGAAAAAACACTATTTAAAAAGCACTAGCAAAGTCGGGACAAACTGAAATTTCACAATGATTTGTTTATACTGATACTGCTCTATATAATACACATGAAAATATAAGTACATTATTTATATTCCAATTGATCTATTTTGTAATGATATGCTAAAAATGATAAAGTCAGTACATTTTCAGTAATAGTATGCTGTGACTTTTGTATTTTATACCAGATTTTGTAAGCAAGACAAATCAGACTCCTGATACAGTAGTTGGGAAAGTTTAAGAGCAACTGCTCTAATAGTTTCTGCACCTACATCACTGATCTTCAGGGAACCTCGCAAGAATTGTCTTTTCACACAGGCTGGGATTAGGATGATGTAAATAGGTTAAGAAGGAAAAGTCAGATAGTATCAGTACCCGTCAATTAGATGAGGAGGCAGCTTTTCATGATACTGAAACTCCTTACAGTTTCAAAACTGGTTATTTTGGAGAGAGTTTATTGTATGCATACCCCAAAGAGTAAAATAGGAAGAAATTTACTGCACACATTTCCATAAGATGTAAGTAATCGCAAAATTAGTATTCACAAAGTTTTCCAGGAACACTCAACATTCCAGTCAAATGACGGTTTTATCTTCTCTCCACATTTCAGTCAAAGGCCTGAGGGATTCAACATTCCCCCATCTCCATTTTATCTTTATAGCAAAATTTATTTTGAAGAAACTTGGGATTGGTTAAAAATAATTCAAAATCAAACTGCTTGTTGATACACAATAGAGTATGTTTTGCTAAATTCGTATGTATACTTATTTAAAACAATTTTTACTCAAGTGATTGCCAAGTTTACCTGTTGCTGTAAATTCCACAGCAGCTATATAATGTGCTATCTCAGTTCTTATTACTATTCCATGCTATCTGTGTGCCCCACAATCTTTTAATGTATTTATCCTCAGTTTCCCAAGAAGGTAGGAAAATTTATTATCCCATTTTAAAGATGAGGAACTGAAGTACAGACACACAAAAAGTCACACATGGAATCTATGATGGAGCAGGGGAGTGAACACAAGTGCCAAACTAGAATCCTAACCACTACATTACTCTTGCATTCTAAACTTTCTGCCATTTGCAGGATTAAATCCATCAATAATTGCATCAAGTCCCAACCACAAGTACTGAGGACATTGGGCAAGAGTTGCAGGCATCAATAAATGGCAAAATAGAAAAATGTGCTCTACAGTATGTATGAGAAGTTGAATTCAAAATCAGTTGTTACTATGAAATTTCTAGTATTGCATTTATCTTTATAGATTCAATTTACATTTATTTTACATAAATAAAAGCACTGGATATACTATTTACAGAAAATACTTGATTCAGATATTGACTGGAACTTTTTACCTTTTAAACTGTATTTGCTTTTAAAGGGTTCATGTAAGGTAGAGAATTCAGAGTTGAAAATATTGATTTGAACCTCCCAGACTGACCCCACCTGCCTCTTGAGCCCCTACAAGAGTCTGCCAAACTAGCAGATATGGAATTAGTTGGAATGGATCACGCAATTTAAAGAATCGCTTTTGTTGAACTACCACAGTAGGCTATTGTTACTGCGGCTAACAAAACACTGTGTTCATTACACAGGCATTAAATAGGTACTGGCAAGTTTAAAACTCCTTATCTGTGTTACTAGCATCACTGTACACTA